ACGGTCGCCATCGAAGGATACTCCATCCCAGCGCTCTTTGATTTTGCTGCGCGGTTTCCCTTCCAAAAACAATAATCGAATCACCGACCGATATTGCTTTTTTTTTCTGAAATCCGCACGGAAGCGATTCCACAGGAGGTCAAAACAAAACTACGCGTCCGATTCGGCTGAAATTTATACAATATCACTGCTGTCTACGAGAATGTTCTAAGCGATGAAAAATTGCTCTTGCGATAGTGGTGCTATCGGTATCGGACGGTGAGGCTAAGTACTTATAAGACCGCCCTCGTATTATGTTTGGTTTAAGCGAGTACTACAATTTCAAATAAAACAATATACACGATTATTTAGATATATTGTATATACAAGTGCATTTAAATATATAAAAAGTGCAGTCATGAATCTACGACGTAGGGGTGGGAGTCACCGCTTACACACACATGTACTAAGCAATTCTATATATTCCGTCAGATATTTTTTTATTGTTTAAATAATTTAGTATTCCCATTGTTTGAAAACAATTGAATTAATTAAGGCCAGAACTTTCTTTAACTTTAACTATTATAAAACCTGATTGTCAAATAAAACTGTTTTACGTAAGAAAAGTTTCCAAATATCATACTTTAGACTTACCCTCCTTAGCTGGTTTTTCCTTTGAGAAGCTCTTCCGCACGGTGTGACCTTTTTGGAAGGGTGAGAGATCCCTTACCACAGTGGGAGCAGTTGGAGGCGGGCCTCCAAATGGATGCACTTTACTCAAGTCCACTACTGATAGCACTACATATGTTGAATGGAATGATCCAGCTATCTGTTGATGTAAACAGAAACAATTGATTTTTTTTTTTAAATAATGCTTCTACATACCATGAGTTACCTCAAACACTACTTGAGAATTGATATTCATAGATTTATAGACATATTTAGATTTCTTCAGCAACCAATTAATAAAGTTTATCTGATACTTCTAAAATTAAATTCGTATTTAGAATCACGTAAGGGTGCAATATCAGTTAAAGAACATAATTTGTAAATAAATTATTTTTATGAAAAATTACTCAAAATTGTGTTAATTCATCCACTCATATCATTGCAGTTATAAAAATAACTGCAATAGCATTCAGTAGTTGTTTCCAATATTACATATAGAAGAAATCTTAATTATCTTTCTTCTCTTCTCGAGGTGTCTTTGACGTTGGCTAATTTGTATTTAAAAGATTTATGTTTTAGTTTCAATGCTAAGTCTACAGATTACAAAAACCCACTAACCAGCTGAGTTTGCGCAACTGTCATATCATGAATTTGTCCCCAGTGACCTGTTACAGTATCTAGGACTCGGGCGGGCTCCCATCCTATTACATGTAGGCCATCATTACCACAACCCAACAGTGTGGTACCATCATCACTGAAGGCCATATGTCTGACAAAGAGTATTACGATTAAAGACAGAACTACTACCATATAATAAAACTTAACTGCAATTCAGCAATAACTAATTATTGCTGAATTATACTCTTAAATTGAAAATATAAAAATTAAAATAACAGATTAAATTTGTATTAAAAATTTAATACATAGAAAGCATTTTAGAATTCTTAATAATGCAAATAAAGCATACCTTATTGATGTGTTATCTTTATCAAACTTAGACACCAACTGAAATTTTTCCATATCCCAAAAGTTAACTGTTCTATCTGAGCCACAACTTGCAAGCAAAAACTCATGTGGATGGAACTTAACACAGGTAACAGCCGATGTGTGTTCCATGAATTCTTGCAATACTTTACCAATTCTAACATCCCAAACTTTAACCAACCCTGTAATAAATTACAAAAGGTGTTTGCATTAATAGTAATTCCAAGATTGTGGAATATATATAATGTATAATCAGGATTAGCAAGAGAGATTTGACATGTTTTCAGCTTTAGAAATATAATTAAAGATTCTGTTTAGAATAATTTCATAATGTACAGAAATCTTGATTAATACAAAAAGTGACACTATAATGATTAATATTAAGGTCACAATATTATTTTTATATATAAGCATTCTATAAAAAAAATTATTGCAAGGTTAAGGCTTGAAGCAATCATCAAGAAGTTATTTCCTTAAGCTACAAATTAATTACTACCAAACTAATATATAATTACCATCTTCACATGCAGATGCTATCCATTGACCGTCAGGACTGAACTGAAGACTATTCACAGCTAGGCGGTGACTTGAATAAGTTACAATACAACCTCTTTTTCTGGTATCCCACAACTTTATATGACTATCACATGATCCAGTGGTCAAATAGTCACCATAAGGATGAAAGTCCATACATTTTATAGCTCCTTTGTGACCAGTAAAAGTTCTCAGCAGTTTTGCAGCTTCTAAGTCCCAAATTTTTAGTGCACCAGTTTGGGAACCAGCACAAACTAAGTCTTCAGAATGACCAAAACACACACATTCCACTGGGGTAGTATGTCCACTTAGGCTCTGTAAATTGGTTATTCATTGAATACTATATCAAAAAGAAAGGTGTTAAACACATTTTATGAATTTTATATAAATTTATACTTTGAACATACCATTAAGCATCCCTGTCTACCAATTGCCCATAAATTCACTTTTTTATCATCGCCTCCAGTAGCCAATACTTGATTGGATTTATGTCCCATGGCCAAGCAGTTGACATTTGCTTTGTGGGCGACAAATTCTTCTACAAAAAGTTAAGATGTATAAATATTATGACTAATTTCAAGAAAACAAATTGTTCATACTTCTTTTTTATCAATAATACTTACGAAGTTTCCATGATCTCCTTAGCGTATCCATAATTTAAAACCATTCCTTGTTCTAGTCTCGTTTTACAGATTTTTGTAGATTCAATTTTAATCACTTCTTCATTTTCGATCTTTATACGATCGTGATAGTCCTATTTAAATTAAAACTGTATGTTGAAATTTGCTAAACGAATTTACACAAGAATTTCAGTAAAGCTTTTGGTGCCTTTCATTTCATTCCTTAAAATTTATAAAAATAGATTTTGATATTTTGTATTGTATTCATATCTCATATAAAATTTACTAATGTCAGTTGTCACCACAGAATATCTAATGCTTACAAATTGTCATTGTCAATTAGACTGGAGTTATTTGTTCTTTGAAAACGAACATTCGACACCTTTATGAGATATAGGTTTTTTTGTACACGTAGATGTGCATATTGCATGTTAACAAATTACATTGTAGGCTTAAGGCTACAAGGTAAAGAAGCGTTAAACCGTAAACTTCATCTATTTTTCATTTACAAATTAAACTTTTTTTTAGCTTAGTTTACTCCCATACTACCACTAATGATTAATTAATGTAAGTAATTTGTGATGGTAATTATAATTTTAAAATTCTGTAAAAAGTAACAATTGACTAGTTCCAATTCATTGAAAAAATGCGCAAATAAATTTATAAAACAAGAAATTATTAAAATATTTTTTTACATCATACGACTACGACTGTGGTCTGAAGCTGAAGTTATAATAATTATTGACTGAGCAGTGAGCACTGAGCTGACACTTGACAGTTTATTTTAAACGGACACGGAGTACCTTTTAGGCTTTTATAATTTATATACAAATGAAATTATTTATTATCAACATTTCAAATCAATATATATTAATCATTTATTTTAATTAACAGGCTAATATCACGTCACATATAAAAATGTGTGCAACCAGTATACGTTTATTTAAAACAAATTTTTCTACTTTATTAACACAAAGAAATGTTTTTTTACAAAGTTTTAGAAGTTTAAAATATATTCAAGGTCAAGAACCAGAGCCAAAAATTAGGGAATATTTTTATTATATTGATCATCAAGGTATGGTGGGTGTTTTATTATCTATTATTAGTTGTATGGTTTTTAACAGTTCATAATACATATGTATATATTTTTTTAGTTATTTCTAGATGATTCTAAAATGAAAAACTTTACGTCATGCTTTAAAGAGAAAAAGTTTTTAGAATTCTTTTTTAAACGAATTCGTTTAAATAAAACTGGAAGATACCAAGAAGAATTTCCATATGTATCTTTGTGTGGACGAGAACGAAATTATATAAGATGTGATGATGTACCTATAGTTTTTACCCATATAATCAATAAGGAAACACATAAAATCCAATTACTTACATATGCATATGTAGGAGAATCATTGACACATAAATTGATGCCTGAAAAAATATATATGTCACCTGACACTGGAAGAGTATACCATCCTGCAGATGATAAATATGGTGGAGTAGGATTAATAAGATCAAAACTTGCTATAGAATTAAGTAAACATTTCACTTTTGGAAATGGAGAATGCAATCCACCTACTCATTTTACATGGAATGAAATAATTTATGACCTAGATCTGTTGTGGTTTCATGATAAAGTACAACAGTATAATTTGAAAATTAATAACAATTCCGAATAAGAAACAATTCTATATTTAGTTGTTAGTACTTATTAACAATTTTTTTAACTATATTTAACAATACATATCTCTAAGGAAGTATTTATACAATAAATATATTTTAAATCTGATTTTATTTGCCTTAATCAAGTCTTTTAAGATTTTTATACAAATCAAATCAATTCTGACAAACAAAGAAAATTTGGCTTTTTCAAAACTAATGAAATCATATTTTGCCGAAGTCTTTAAAACAAGGAGCATAATAAGATTCTAGTACCGTTAATATATTACATACATACAGTTTATTATTAAGGGTTTAAAATTACTAACTCCTAAGCTTGTACATTCAAATTAAAAAAATATATACCACATAAAATAGAAGTTAAAAAAATAATGTAAATTAAAACACTTTCAATGTGAATAATTAAGGTACTAAAAAGGAAGTATAGCATAGTAATAGTGATTTGCTTACTACCTTATCTGTTGTGCTTTTTAGTTAATCACAGTTTTCTAATATGGCTACAGTTTTTTTGTGATATAATATAAATTGTAGTGTATTCATTTATTGTGATGTATCTTCTTTTGAAAATGATTGATAAGATCCAGTTTGTACCCAAGATATACCATGAGAATTCTCATCATTCTCTTTCTGTTTTAACATTTTATTTTTAGCAACATCATGTATCTTCGGATCATAGGGTTGAAAAGTGATGTAGTGCTTATCCTCTGTTAAAGGTGCATCATACATGTGCTCATGGCTTAGTGTTACACATTCTTTAACTTTTTCTATAAATGCCTTTTTGTTGGTTTTGAACCTTAAATGGTAAATAATAATTTAATTTTTGTCAAGTAAATCTTAATAAAACATGTAACAGTAGGATCCTTTACAGTAAAAATTCCTAGAGGAACGCTCCAAGCACGTTATTTTGACAATAAGGAACAGGTTGGTAAATTAGTCTCTTTTTCAAATCAAAATCTATTTATAAAGAAGAAAAACTCACATTTATATTGTAATCAATGATGATAAAGCATATTATGGATCAATGGCGTAACTATACGATCTGGGGCCCTTCGCGAATTCTTTTGATGGGGCCCTATCAGTAAAAATCGTCACGTTGCACTCAGATTAATTTTAATAAACTTTGAGATTTTCAGCATACTCAATGACACATTGTACATGTCCCACTGATGGACATAGTCCTCCTCTCAGGTGAGAGGGAATGGTCTGTAGTCCACACGCTAGCCCAATGCGTATTGGAGACTTTACATACATCCATAGAACATAATATCTCTTGGGCAGGGGCCCTCGGCATTTTGCCAGCCCTATCACCCTATTGTTACGCCACTGTTATGGATATAAATGTATATATATTAATAAAAAATTGCTTACATTAATGATGCTTCATTATTTGCTGGTGCTTTTATGTTGATGTTATTAAATATCCAAAGTAAATATTTCAGTATTTGCCAAATATGGTTTTGTTTCTTATCCCATTGAGAAAAGACTTCATTAAGATTTAGATGACCACTAATTGCATCTACTGCTGGGTGATATAACTGTGATGTAAATGTTATGCTCTAAAAATAAAAGTAAATTGAAGTATCTTAAAATGTATAGAATGTTATTCATATAAGCACTGCACAGAAGAATTTGAACATATAGATAACATTATACATAATAGACTTACAGGAACCGTATCATCTGGGAATTTTTCTGGTAAAGATAGTGTAAAACGAAACACTCCTTCAGCATATATTCCTGTTCTTACAAAAATCACGCCATACCACACTGAAATAATAATTTTAATAATATGAGTCTGAGGTAATATGCATTAAGAAAATATAATTTTTTATGATATACTTACAAAAAGAATTTTCATATGATGGTATTACATAAATTCCTTCCAAGTTTTCAGTTTGTAGCATACGGCTGAAATTTTAGTATTGTATTATTATATCTTACCAATTGCAGTTCAAGTAATAAATAATACATTGCACGAACTTACTATTCAGCCATAATAATGTATTCCTGATGAAATATGGAATAGAGTTCCTTCATATTGCTGCCACTTTCTTTACTCATATGTAATTCTTGGAATATTTACTACTATTTTAGAGGAACCCCGTGTTTATATCATAACCCATTACTTAAATATATTCATAATTAAAATCAAATAAGTAAACAGCGAAACCTGTGGAATAGAAAGTAGAAACACGTTTGTGGGAGTAAAATTATGTTAGCAAGATGAATACAAAAATAGTGACATAACCTGACTATCTAATTTTGAAAAGTTTTAATATAATTTAGCAATTTTGAGCATGATTCGGTAAAATTGTAAAGTATAAGTTTTTTTTTTTTTTTTTTCCTTTCTTGGCCTGCACGGTTTGTGCGTCAGCCATGTAAAAAAGTTAGGAAGTGCGTTGTTAGATTTATTTTATTGGATTAGAAATTGGAGCGGAATTTGGAAAAGGATCAGATAAATTTATTATATAAGTACATAAATGGTTATAATTTTATATTGTTATGAAAAATAAAACTGGCTAAAATTCTATATACATCCATATTTATATTAGATAATAGGACAGAAATTGAAGTAGGAAAAGGAATTTTAATGGATAAAAGTGAGGAAATAAAAGCGGAACGGTCATGTCGAGTGCAGGCGAAGAATATATGATTAAAATCCCCAACGTCATTGCCACACTCACAAATATCGTTAGGCAAAATGTTAAGCCTTGCCAAATGCAAAGGAATGCATGCATGGCCTACCCTCATACGTATAAGGGTCGAAGTGATAGCTTTACCAAGCGTCAGATTTGAAAACCATGGTTTAGAAGGTATATCCTCCTGAATCGTGCTGTAATATCGACCTTTAGTCTGACTTGAAGAACGCCAAATGTTTGTCCAAGAATTCAATAACTGGGATTTAGGCAGGAGAGCCAAATCACAACAAAAATTTTTGTACGGAACCAGATCTCCGTCATTGACCGCAGCTTTGGCAAGGCTATCGGCCTTGGTATTGCCAAAGATACCTGAGTGCCCCGGAATCCAAGCAAAAGAAACTGTGTAATTTTTGATGCAACATTGATGCAATAGATCACGACATGCAATAATGACTGGATGATTATTTCTGTTATTGCTAAAAGGAAATCTTTCCAAGGCTTGGAGGGCACTTTTAGCGTCGGTTAAAATTATTGAGTTTTTTAACTTCATTATTAAAATGTACTCCAGAGATTTCAGCAGACCAAAACATTCTCCAGTAAATACTGAAGTCTCTGGAGGGAATTTTATTTTCTGTACAATGCCAAACTGTTGATGGAAAACGCCAATTCCCACACATTTATCGGAGCCGGGTTTGGAAGAATCACAAAAAATTAAATGGCAATTTTTCCATCGGTTGTCACTGTCAATAATATTAATAAATTTGGCATTGGCAGAAGGATCTTGTCTACATATACCGAAATCAAATAAAATAGAAGGATTTAATGTTAAGGCATCATAGTTAACACAAAATATAGGAAGGAATTGTGATCTATGTGTTGGAGCTTCAAGAGCTAGGTATTTTTGGAGACTAATAATAAGGCATGGCGGCGATTTATGAGCCCAGTACGGATAATCCATACATTCCAACAGAGACCGTAACTTAGAGTAAAGAGGATGATTAAAGACTTGGAATGCTCTAAACAGGAACCTGTCACAAAGAAATTGTCGTCTGAGGTGCAGGGGAGCTTCAGAACATTCGACCTGCAAAGCGTTAATAGGGCTTGAACGCATAGCCCCAGCAATTATTCTCAGAGCCTTAGACTGGATAATGTTTAACTTATGGAGAGCTACTGTATTACAGGGTTCAAGTATAAATGTTCCATAGTCTAAAATACTTCTTATTAGGGCATTATATAGAAGCTTTAGAGAGAAAGGGTGGGCTCCCACCAAACTCCAGAGAGGCAACGCAATATATTTAGAATCTTCTCACATTTGGCACTTATATATTTGCAATGAGAGCTTCCTGTAAGTCTTGAGTCTAAAATTACTCCAAGAAATGTTGCTTCACTTTTAACGGAAACTCTAATATTATTATAAAATACAGACACTGATGGAGGAAGTCTCATACGTGAAAATAAGACTATCATACTTTTAGCAACTGAAAGGCTTAGAGAGTTATTGTCAAGCCAGACTTTTAGCAACTTAAGGGAATATGTCATAGTATCAGACATGTTGTCAACAGAATTACCTGAGATATATAAGAGTAAATCATCTGCATATTGGAGTGTATTAACTTTACCCTTAAGGGAGGCTTCCAGATCATGAGAATATATATTGTAAAGTAAGGGACTCAAAACCGAGCCCTGGGGTAAACCTTTCCAGGCAATACGGGATTGGTAGGAGCCTTCTGATATTACTTTAAGCATTCTACCAGAGAGAAGATTGATAGTGAAGCTTATAAAAAGTTGTGGGATATCCAAATTAATCATTTTTTGTTTCAGAGTTGAAAGGTTGACATTATCATAGGCTGCAGACACATCTAAGAATGCTGCTAACACAGGCTTATTGTATGAAAATGCTAATCTTAAGTCTGTCATAAAAATACTGAGACTATCCATAGTACACCTGCCTTTCCTAAATCCAAACTGGTTTGGAGATAGTAATCCTTTACTCTCAACAAACCATTCTAGTCTATTCTTAACTAAATGTTCAGAAATTTTGGAGATAACTGAAGCTAATGCTATTGGTCTGTATGATGATGGGTCATTAATCGGTTTGTTGGGCTTATGTATTGGTATAACTTCGTGAATTTTCCATGACGGAGGTATATTACCAGATGTTAAGATTGAATTAATTAAACTGAGAAAATAAGAAAGGCAGGAGTCATTTAGGTTTTGAAGAAAAGAATATGGAATTCCATCACAACCTGGGGCTGAGTCCCTAAGTTTTGAAAGAACCCCTTTGAGTTCTGAAAGGCTAAAGGAAATGAGTGAATTGCTATTATGCTGGGAGAGGAGAGAAGGCTGAGAGCCAAAAGAAATATTATCTATAGATGGGACATATGGTGGAGCTAATTTGTCAAGAAACAAATCAACTGTACTGCTATCCATAAAATGAGACTTTGGAGGTTTAAAGGCGGATCTGAATCTCCGAATATTTTGCCAAACTTCAGATGGAGAAATGTCTGGTGAAATTGAGGCACAAAAAGATTTCCAGCCATTGAATCTTTTTTTGTTTTAATAATTTACGTGTTTTAGTTATAAGATTGCTAAGAATATTAAAATTTTGTGTTGTAGAATTTTTCCTGTAATTTCCTTCAGCTCTCTTTCTCTCAGCTATAGCAGCAGAACACTCACTGTCCCACCAAGGAGGTGATGGAATATAACCATTGCCACTATTACTTTTAATTGGAAAAACTTCATCAGCAGCCTGAAGTAGGGCCCGTGTAAAAGCTTCAGCACAAAGATGATTATTGCTGTCATTTACTAGAGGTATGGATGATAAATTTTGTTGAGCTTTATCTCTAAATAATGACCAGTTGGCATCCTTAAGTCTATATTTTAGCCGTGGAGGAGCCTTTGATGTTTGTTCTCCAATTTTTTGGGGAAATGATATAATTAGTGGGAAGTGATCGCTTCCATATGAAGAAGATAGAGGCCACCAGTTTAATGTAGGAGCAAGGGAAGGACTACATAGGGTAAGGTCTGGTGCACTCATACCCTCATGGGGCTGTGTCCTTCTAGTAGAACAACCGGAGTTTAGAAGGCATAAATTATTATTATCTAAGATGTCTAAGATTCTAGCCCCATAATGATCGGACTTAGAACTTCCCCACATAGTATGTTGTGCATTGAAATCTCCCATGACCAAAATAGGGCGCGGGAGGGAAGATAGAATGTTACAAATATCGTCAAAAACTTCAGTGGAAGGGTGAGGTATATACATATTTACAATACAAATATTATTTACACTAGCAGCAATAATGGAAAATTTATCACTGTGATTAATGATGGGTATGTGAACAAAGGGCACACCTCCTCTAAGAATTAGTGCAACTCCACCATACCCATCTGTTCTGTCTTCTCTAAGACAGATATGTCCTGGAATTCTAAAATTGAATCCCGGGACGAAGCCAAGTCTCTTGAAGAGAGACGGCAAAAGGTTTGTAATTGTTTAATAAATAAATGAGGTCACTTTTTTTACTATTAATGCTCCGGCAATTCCACTGAATCACCAGAGACTGGTTTTGTGGATGGTCTGTGTGACTGTCCATGATTTAAATAAGTTTTTGAAGAAGGGGCATCGTTGGTCGGTATTTTAATTATGTCAGATTGTGACAGGTACTGAATTATAGAAATGATGAGATCCTTGGTTATTACTTCTGACAAATCATTGTAGTTTTTAAGACAACCTGTAGAAAAGGAAGGAATATTGCTATAATCTTGAATAAGCTCTGCATGTGCTTTTTGATCATATCCCTTACTAACATTTCTGGGACGAGTTTTGGGTTTCATGAAAATTGTTTTCCTAAATGACTGAGTGGGAGTGTTAGAAGGACTTGTTACATTATAGGGGCTGGAATACTTAATATTCGGACCAGAAGGGGCCGATGAAGCAGAAGCAACAACGTCTGCATAAGATTTAGAAACTGGTGGATTGGCTTTACTGGCTTCTGAATAAGATATAGCCTTTCTAGCCATTGTTTCTTTAATTGATTTTTGCCTAGCATACTCTGGGCACTTTTTATCTGTTGCAAAATGGGAACCAGAACATAAGATGCACACAGCATCATCTCTTTCAGTCTTGCAGCTTGTACTTGTATGGTTGTCACCACATTTGTAACACCTTGGAGTGCCTCTGCATTGCATTTTGGTGTGACCAAAACGGCAGCAATTAAAACATTGCAATGTGGGGTAAATATAAAGTTCTACGGGTAAGGAGTTATAACACATAAAGACCCTGGGAGGTAATACTTTCCCATCAAAGGTTAAAACTACGGTCTCTGTCGGAATAAACTTGGGAGTCTCACCTTCATACACCTTTCTGTTTAGTCTTCGAACCTTTAAAATGCTTCCACAGTTCTGCGGAAGCTCAATATTTTC